AGCTGTTTCATGTGGCCAGGTTCGACTCCTACTGAAGCTGGTGTTTACTTTATTCTTAATACAGGGTAGGCAAAAATTTTTAATTGTTCATTCTCTCGCTAAGTATAAATCAATAAGAAAATATGAGATTTTTTACTATGAATTTACAAGTCTTCGCGTCATTGGTTCAGCAAATTCAGAGATAGCTGTTTCCCAAACAGCGTCAGGATATTTCCTGCGGCAGAAGTGCGCTTTTAACAATTAATGATCTACCGGGCCAAGAGTAAAGAAAATTTTATTGTCCCTTCTCGCGATAAAATATTAAGTAAAAGAAGCGAAATATGAGATTTTACAATCAATTCACAGAGTAAGTCAGCGCGTCAGTAGTTTCTTAGAATAGCTGTTTCCGAAACAGTTGGCCCAGGCTCTTGACTCCCAGCCAACATAGTACATAACTTTTTTCTTCCAATCAATATGGTCTGCAAGATGAGGAAGCCCAGAAATTTTAATTGCTCCTTCTCATAATAAAATTATAAACAAATTAACAGAAACGATAATTTTAATCAATTCTAAGTCCATAGCGTCAGTAGATCTACTGTGAATAGTCATTAATTTCAAAGGCTTCTATTTAGTTTTGAAACCGGCTGCTGTACCTCTTGCAGGCACAGAAGGGCTAGAGCACGGTGCGCCGGTCCGCCCAATAGAGGGGCAAGGAATTGATGGGTGCTGTAGTCATTGATGGGTTTTGGCTGGGTGTGTTATCACCCGGATGGTGATTTAGTTTGTCCCCTCTGTTTCCCCATGTTAGAGCGTTCTACACACCCGATCCGGACATCTGGACTTTCCGCATGCTTCGGCGTGGAAAAAAACCTTTAAATTCCACGGTCAGGTATCTGTTTTACCACAGTTGAGAGGCCTGGGTTCGACTCTCGGCCGGCAGATTGTCTAACATTTTCAGCAGCAGTCTTTACAAGATAGAAGCGAAAATAATTGTTGCTCTTTCTCGCGTTAAAACTCAAAGAAAAGAGAAATATGAGATTTTTAAAATAAATTCCTTAACAATTTCGTGTTGCGGTGACAGTCAGAATCGCTATTTCTCAAATAGATGAATCCAGTTTCGACTCCGGCCGTGGTACATATCACATATCAACAAAATGAGTCTGCAAGATAGGAAGCAAAAATTTTAATTGCTCTTGTCAACGTAAATTATAAAACAAAGTGTAGAGAGCTTATTAGATTTTACAATCAATTCTAAAGATACTTCACGCAGTGATTCAACAGTCCAAGTCGCTGTTTCCGAAACAGTTGACCCGATTCCTCCCAGCCGACATGATCCTACTTTTCTTTCCAATCCATAGTCCTACCCAGATGAAGCAGAAATTTTAATTGCTATAATTCGCGTAAGAGTGCAAAACAAAATAAATGTAGAGATTTTTACAATTGATTCTAAAGTGCCCTGTGTTGGTTCAACTGGTCAAGTCTTCTTTTTTTTAAAACCAGTTGAGCCCGGAACAAGACTCCCGGCTGGCGCAGTGGGTATTCTTTCTTAGATAAGATGTAGCAGATAGGAAGCGAAAATTTTAATTGTTCATAATGTATTTAAATATTAGAAGCGAAATAACAGTTTTACTATAATTCCCAAGTTCTTTCGCGTCAGTCAATTGGTTGCTAGCAGTCAATGTGTTTCCCGTTCGATTGACGGGTTTGACTCAACCAGCGCAATTACATAACTTTTATTTCAATCAATGATCTGCAAGATAAAAGGCAAAAATAGTATTGCTCCTTCATTCATAAAAGAAAGAAATAAAATTTTGCAATCAATTCTTAAAACAATTTGTTTGCATTGTTCTACAGTCAGGAATCGCTGTTTCCAAACAGATGATCCAGGTTCGTCTCCCAGCCAAGGCAATTGCATAACTTATTTCAACCCAATGAGTCTGCAGATAGGAAGCGAAAATTTTAGCCACTATAAAAAAGTAACACTTATAAACAAAAGAAAGAAATACAGAATTTTTTACTATATCAATTCTGAGTTTACGCGCCGGTAATGCAACAGTCAGAATAGATGTTTCACAAACAACTGGCCAGGTTCGACTCTGACAGAATTGCATAACTTTTATTTCCAACCCAATAGGTCTACAAGATAAAGCGAAAATTTTAGTACTCCTTCTCGCATTCATCTTAAATAAAGCGAAATCTTAGAGGAATTTCTATCAATTTCAGTTCTTTCGCGGTCATTGTTAAACGGAATCAGAATAGCTGTTTTAATATAGAAGGCGAAGTTTTGGCACCTTCTCGCGATAACACCTAAAACAAAGATGAGAAATATATATATATACGAGAGATTTTTAGTAATAAATTCTGGAAAGTTTACATGACAGTCCAACGGTCCAGAATATTTGTTTCACAAACAGCTGACCCAGGTTCGACTCCATAGAAGGTGCCATGCTTTTATTTCGACAATGGTCTACCAAGATAAGAATAGAAAATTTTGCATTGCTCAGCTGATAAAATATTAAAATTAAAGAAGCCTGATATGAGAATTTTACTATCAATTTTCAGAAGTTCTTTCGCGTCAGGCGGATCAACGGTCAGAATAGCTGTTTTTTAAACCAGTTGGCCAGATTCGCGGCTGACGCAATTCTGGGTATTTCAACCAACAGATAGATCAACAAGATGAAGCAAAGAAATTTAATTGTTCAACTCATATTTAAATATTAATAAAAGAAGCGAAATACATGAGATTTACTATCAATTCAGAAGTTCCTCGCGTGGTAGTTTAACTAGTCGAATGCTGTTTCTGACTTAGATTGGCCAGGTTAGACTCCCGGCTGGCTAATTTCTCTTAGATTTTATTTCAAACGAATGGTCATATAGATGGAAGCGAAAATTTTTAATTGTTTCATCTCGCCCATTAAATGTAATAAAAGCTGAGAAAGTTTCTATCAGTTCTAAGGTTCTTTCAGCGCGTCAGTAGTTCAAGCAGTCAGAATAACTGTTTCCCAAACAATTTAGGTTCGACTCAGCGACGCAATTACATAACTTTAATTTCAACCCAATAGATGCAAGATGGGAAGCATTTTTGTGCATATAGATACTTATATAAAACAAAAGAGAAAGAGAAATACGAGATTTACTATCAATTCTACATGGAAGGATTTGCATAATTATTACAACAGTCTGGACATGTTTCTGGTAAGCTGACGGGTTCGACTCCCTGCCGACAGGATTGCATACTTTTATTTTAGCCCAATGGTCTACAAAAGAAACTGAAAATTTTGAAATTTACTCTCTCGCGATTAAATATTAAAAGTAAGAGAAGCGAAATATGAAATTTACTATCAATTCTACCAGTCATGTTCGTCTGATGGTTCAACGTTTAGAATACTGTTTCCCAGAGCAGTTGACTAGGTTCATTCCGGCCGGCAGTTGTATAACATTATTTAGATCCCAGTGGTCACCCAGATGGAAGCGAAAATTTTAAGTTATTAATTCTCGCATAAAAATTGCAATCAAAGAAATATAGAATTTTACTGAAATCGGAAGTGCTTTTTTTTTGCGCGTCAGTGAACCAGCAGGGAACTGTTTCCCCAAAACGGTTGGCCAAGTTCGACTCCCCACGGACGACTCAGTTATATAAGCATTTATTTGAATCCTATGGTCTACAAGATAAGGAAGTAGAATTTTGTTATTCCAATGTCCGTTAAATATTAATAAAAAAGAAGCTGTATGAGATTTTTACTATCAATTCTAGAAGTCCCTTCGCGTCAGTGGTTCAGCAGTCCCAAATTGTTTTGAAACAGTTGACCGGGACTGTTGACCGGCGCAATTACATAACTTTATGTCAACCCAATGGTATGGAAGATAGGAAGCGAAACTTTTTAATTGCTCCTTCTCAAAAAAATTTAAACAAATAACATAAATGAGATTTTTGCTTGATGCAGTCCTTTTCCATTGCGTCTGTAGTTTCAGCGGTCAGGTAGCTGTTTCCCCAAATAAGCTGACCAGGTTGACTCCCGACCGACATAATTGCACTTTATTTCAATGCAATGGTCTACTGAGATAGAAACCAAAAATTTTAGTGCTCCTTCTCCTTATAAAAAATAAATAAAGAAATATAGAATTTTCTCTCAATTCAGAAGTTTTTCGCGTCTGTAGTTTTCAAGCCGTTAGAGCTGCTGTTTCCCAAACTGATTGGCCAGGTTCTGACTCCCAGCCGACGCAATGGCTTTCTTTTATTTCAATCCAATAGTCTGCAAGGTAGGAAGCGAAATTTAGTGCTCCTTCTCTTCAATGAGTCTCGACAAATAGAAATATGATTTTTACCCAATCAATTCTGAAGTGCTTTTTTTGCATCCGTAGCTCAGCAATTAAGAATAGCTTTCATCAAACAATTGACCCAGTTCAGGCTCAAACCGTACCGG